ATTTGAGTACCCACATGCATTTTTGATATATTTTTTATATATATTATATATATGTATATATAAATATTTACATATTATATAATATATTATAAATATATGAAAAATTGATGTGGGTACTCAAATGAAAGGTCTCGATGAGTGTAATATCAGGATGAGCTTATATCATTGAAAATGTCAATAGTTCACAAGATACAAGGTCATTTCCTTATTGTGTGTCTAGAGATAGAGTATTTTTGAATTTTATGAAATTTAATTAAATTTTTTATAAAAAATACTGCTAGTCAGTATTTAGAACATAAGGGGTCAATATTTAGAGCCTTTGGCCTAGTATTATTATTTTTTAAAAAATTTTACCATCATAAATAGAAGTATCGTGAATATTGCAAGGTCCGGCATGCTTGGTCTCCAGGACGAACCCAGTGACACAGGCGTCCTTAATAATATGACACCAGCTTGGGTAAGTCATGTTGTTGGTCGCGCATAATACTGATGGATATCCCGGGTCATCGCCGCGGAACTGCTGCCTCTTTTCGGAATTTTCGTGCTTCCTCTGGGCACCGGGGCATCGGTACATGCAAGTCACGCACCGCGGCCGATTTGTTTTTATTTCTGTCAGACATGTTTGACCCTCTCGGCATCTTATCGTCGTGCAGTCTGAGTTCTCTGAAAAATAAAAGTAGAAAGTTAGTTGTTTTGCTAAAAAGTCTTCAAGATCTTTAAGATTATTTACATTCTTAAGAAAATAATTATTTTATCTTGTGTAAGTATTTTATTAACAAATTTAAAATATTCAAACGTTTAATGAATATTCTAAAACTGGAATTTAAATTCTAAATTTCCCGCCGAAATAAACAGCTGGTAAGAGTCGTATGGCGGCCACCGGTTTTAAGACTAAAATGCCAATTACTTTCAAACTAATTACCCGTTTTGCATGAAATTTTCTGGAGACCTCAAATTCACTCACCTGAACCCTACAAAAAAAGAATTACGCAAATCATACCGATATTTCGAGAGTTTTCGTGCGTACAAACATCTCGCCGAAACAAGTTAGATTAGTTACGTAGTTTTTAAAGGATTTTATCGTGAAAACCGACTCCAATTAAAGAGTTTGTACAATAAGGATGGTTAATAAAACCCGGAAAGTTATCAATTGTTACATCGGCTCGATAATTCCCCTGCTTTTTATAAAAGCTATCGATTTATCTTCTTCTACCACAAATTCATGCCTCGCTCTTAAGAAACTTTAAATTTCCCGCCTTTTGAATTTTAAATTCCCCGCCAAACTAACAGCTGGTAAGAGTCGTAATGGCGGCCACCGGTTTTAAGACTAAAATGCCAATTACTTCCAAACTAATCACCCCTTTTGCATGAAATTTTCTGGAGACCTCAAATTCACTCACCCGAACCCTACAAAAAAGAATTAAGCAAATCATACCCGTATTTCGAGAGTTATCGCGCATACAAACATCTCGCCGAAACAAGTTAGGTTAGTTACGTAGTTTTTAATGGATTTTACAGTGAAAACCGACTCTAATTAAAGAGTTTGTACAATAAAAATGGTTAATAAAACCCGAAAAGTTATCAATTGATACATCGGCTCGATAATTACCCTGCTTTTTATAAAAGTTATCGAATTATCTTCTTCTACTACAAATTCATGCCTCGCTCTTAAGAAACTTTAAATTTCCCGCCTTTTAAATTTTAAATTCCCCGCCAAACTAACAGCTGGCAAGAGTCGTAATGGCGGCCACCGGTTTTGAGACTAAAATGCCAATTACTTCCAAACTAATCACCCCTTTTGCATGAAATTTTCTGGAGACCTCAAATTCACTCACCTGGACCCTACAAAAAAAGAACTAAGCAATTCAGACCCGTATTTCGAGAGTTATCGGATCTTAAAAAAGTTTCCAAACAACTAACCTCAATTATTATCGTTTTAAATCATTAATTACATAAATTTAAAAAAAAATCTCTGTTTTGCGCTCTGAGACACAAATAAATAAAATAAATCCATTAATCTTGAGGTACAATTTTTCTATGAAGGGTCGTTGGTCTGCGAATAATTCGGGTGGATTATTTAGTAGCATTACCCCCACATGATGAGCATATGTCATAAAGTACTTTACATACGCAAAGTGGGATTAGGATAAACTACGTAACATTGTAATTTGTAAATTATATAACAGAGGAGCGTCGAGCGTCTATTATACACTTATTTATTAGCAACACTTCCGTCAACACAAAATATATTTAGTGATATTCACACGTCCACTGACCCGGGCAATCATATTATATATATAAAGAAGATCTATCCAGACGAAAAAAAAAAAAAAAAAATATAAAAATGATAAACAACCAGGTCATTATTAGCGTTAAACTATTTAGTTGTCTGTGAAAACCGACTCCAATTAAAGAGTTTGTACAATAAGGATGGTTAATAAAACCCGGAAAGTTATCAATTGTTACATCGGCTCGATAATTCCCCTGCTTTTTATAAAAGCTATCGATTTATCTTCTTCTACCACAAATTCATGCCTCGCTCTTAAGAAACTTTAAATTTCCCGCCTTTTGAATTTTAAATTCCCCGCCAAACTAACAGCTGGTAAGAGTCGTAATGGCGGCCACCGGTTTTAAGACTAAAATGCCAATTACTTCCAAACTAATTACCCGTTTTGCATGAAAGTTTCTGGAGACCTCAAATTCACTCACCCGAACCCTACAAAAAAGAATTAAGCAAATCATACCCGTATTTCGAGAGTTATCGCGCATACAAACATCTCGCCGAAACAAGTTAGGTTAGTTACGTAGTTTTTAAAGGATTTTATCGTGAAAATCGACTCCAATTAAAGAGTTTGTACAATAAGAATGGTTGATATAACTCGGTATGTTATCAATTGTTATGTCGGCTCGATAATTGCCCGATAAGCAGCGACAAACGCGGTATTATGTTCCCAACAGCAAAGATTGAATGACATATAATATGTAACGACGAGATCATTAGATATTAACATAAAGTACCTTATTAAATTATAAAATTATAATAAATAAGCCCAACAAAAGGTGTGTCTCGATGTTACAATAATTCACAATAACAGACGTGTTGCTCTAATAATAAAATTATTTATTCATCCGTCCTATTGTCAAGTAATCCAGTTCCCTCGGTCAAAAAGCCCAAAATAATCAGTATCTATATAATGATAACACGTGGTAATGTATAACACATAACATATAACCTAACACGTGTAGATAAACAAGTCGATGACCCTTTGTGTTGGTGAGATTATTGTGGCCTTGTCTCCACAAAATAATCATTCATTTTCATTTCATTTATAATATTATATCATTGTTACTGTTAATGTAATTATTAATGTCAGTGGTGATTGCTAATAAGCTCTGACAGCCACCAGTCAGTGAAGCTGATCCAGACAACAGACAAGACAACTAAATAGTTTAACGCTAATAATGACCTGGTTGTTTATCATTTTTATATTTTTTTTTTTTTTTCGTCTGGATAGATCTTCTTTATATATATAATATGATTGCCCGGGTCAGTGGACGTGTGAATATCACTAAATATATTTTGTGTTGACGGAAGTGTTGCTAATAAATAAGTGTATAATAGACGCTCGACGCTCCTCTGTTATATAATTTACAAATTACAATGTTACGTAGTTTATCCTAATCCCACTTTGCGTATGTAAAGTACTTTATGACATATGCTCATCATGTGGGGGTAATGCTACTAAATAATCCACCCGAATTATTCGCAGACCAACGACCCTTCATAGAAAAATTGTACCTCAAGATTAATGGATTTATTTTATTTATTTGTGTCTCAGAGCGCAAAACAGAGATTTTTTTTTAAATTTATGTAATTAATGATTTAAAACGATAATAATTGAGGTTAGTTGTTTGGAAACTTTTTTAAGATCCGATAACTCTCGAAATACGGGTCTGAATTGCTTAGTTCTTTTTTTGTAGGGTCCAGGTGAGTGAATTTGAGGTCTCCAGAAAATTTCATGCAAAAGGGGTGATTAGTTTGGAAGTAATTGGCATTTTAGTCTTAAAACCGGTGGCCGCCATTACAATTCTTACCAGCTGTTAGTTTGGCGGGGAATTTAAAATTTAAAAGGCGGGAAATTTAAAGTTTCTTAAGAGCGAGGCATGAATTTGTAGTAGAAGAAGATAATTCGATAACTTTTATAAAAAGCAGGGTAATTATCGAGCCGATGTATCAATTGATAACTTTTCGGGTTTTATTAACCATTTTTATTGTACAAACTCTTTAATTAGAGTCGGTTTTCACTGTAAAATCCATTAAAAACTACGTAACTAACCTAACTTTTTTCCGCGAGATGTTTGTACGCGCGAAAACTCTCGAAATACGGGTCTAAATTGCTTAGTTCTTTTTTTGTAGGGTCCAGGTGAGTGAATTTGAGGTCTCCAGAAAATTTCATGCAAAAGGGGTGATTAGTTTGGAAGTAATTGGCATTTTAGTCTCAAAACCGGTGGCCGCCATTACGACTCTTGCCAGCTGTTAGTTTGGCGGGGAATTTAAAATTCAAAAGGCGGGAAAGAAAAAATAATTGTATAGCTCTTATAGAATTGATAAAAGTGAGTGATGTCTCGGGGAAATAAATGGGGAAAGTTTGTTATCGAAATATACATTAACCGGGTGGTCGGTGGGACTTTACTTGTTGTGCTCGGATGAAAAGTAGTCGAGCCAATGGAAGAAGGAAAAGGAGCTGAGCTGAGCCCTGTGCTGGTAAAGGTAAACTCTTCTCTCGCATTATATAGGTTGTAACATTCCGGTAATTTATTACCTATTACAATTACCACGGGCGTGTTGCTGCAGCTGTGATTAATCGACTGACATGCCAAGAGTGCTATTATACACTCGAATCGATAGCGTACGAGACGTTGCCAACAAATATAACGGAAGACCCAGTTGAGAGCACAATGTATATTTATATATTATATATTTTATATATTGAGCGAGTCCAGTCCGAGGGAATTAAATCGGTTTATTGAATTTTATCAGATAATGCTCGAAAAAAATAAATAATGAAATACTCCACAACCTAGAGGGACATAAAAAATAATATTTGCCGAAGCAACGACTTCGCACCTTCTGCTCAATAAATATATATTTAGTATTTACCGACACCTATATGTCCCTCTTCAACAGACGGAACTCAACCTTTTGTTATTTACTTAAATATAAGGACCGAGCTTTTGTTTACAGAGCTCTCGAACTTCAGGAATTCGAGAAACTTCAACTCAATAAATTCCTTTTAATGTTTTTTTATAATAATTGTAATTATTATCGTCTAACCGAAAACCAATTGACAATTAGTCAGCGACATTCTCCATCAGAGGAACCCTTTTAGCTTTTATTCTTTTAGTTATTTATTAACACTTTCCATTTTTTCATCCAAAAGTTTCCTTATTTTTAATTGTCATTATACTTATGTTACTTTTTTTTTTATTCCAGGCTCGAGAGTATCGCTTTTCTTAATATTGAAAATTGGATTTTTGGTGTGTGATTAAGGTAAAATTTTTATTTATTTATTATTAATTATTATTTATAACTATTTTTTACAATTATTTCAATCATCCAGATTGTTAATTCACTGGAATTTTTATTATTTATTCCAAGTCTAATTGATAAATTATTTTATTCAATTCAATACTTGCCGGCGACAAAATTTGGAATTTTAACGCGGACGGATCCGGATTCGATCCCCGGCGCAGTCAATTAAAAAAATTTTTTTTATTTATATTCAATATTCTATCAATTTTTTCGTTACTAAAATTTAATCTAAATAACCAGATGTTTTTTATTCAAAATGATTTTTAATAATTCGATAAATCATTTTAATTTAAATAATATTTCTAAAATAAAGTTATTGTTTAGTTTGACACTTGATAAATTAACACTTTGAAACTTTTTTTTGTTTGATGATAAAATTCAACATTTGAGATTTTTTATCAGTTAAATTTGTCTAGAAAAATATTTTTTGACAAAACTGCGTTGTAATTTAACCAAGATACTCTCAGAAGTTCAAAAAACCCCAAAGAAATAAATTTTTCCGCAAAATTTTGCAAATATTCAAACAAACTTGCCGAAAAGTTAAGAATTTCAAAAGTTGTCTTATAAGTTCAACTTTGACTTCAAATAACTTTCGAATGGGTAGATTTATCAAAAATTCATAAGACATTTTTTGTAGACCATCAAATTTCCTACAAAAATATACTCTAAATTTTTCAATCCGACAATTCGTTAACGAGTTACAGAGTTCCAAATTTTGCAACCAAAATATCAACTTTAAAGAAAGTTTTTTTTCAAAATTTTTGATGTTTTAAAAAAAAATTGGATCTTCTTGAAAGAATCTATGACTCGGTAAGTTATGCATCAACCCTGGATCGCATTGCTTCTCATTCTTGGATCAGAGATCTTGCATTGGGCTGCAGAAGTACTTAATGTTAGCTCAGTGCGGGTACTGGTACTGGATATCAGATAGTTAGAGGTTTAAGTTGTGTGTCTATATGCCAGAGAGCAGCAAACTGGTAATATAACCAAACTGTAGATGGAACTCTAAAGCTAAGAGCGTGTTGTTATATGGACGAGACTAAGACGCAGACGTAGAGCGGTAAAGGGAAACTATTAAGCCCGTCGGCGTACAAACACTGTTTAAACTTTGGTATTGTACTGAGTGTAAGTATGCACAATATGCAATACTGCAATACCATCAACCATCCGCTATCCACCATCGCTAATCACTTTTTTTTTATTAATTATTGTTTGCTTTCAGTTTTCCCGATGGCCAATTAAATTGTCGACGTCTTTTGCAACCGATTCTAATTAAGTTAATTATACCGGGGCTTGAACTGGATAAATATTTATGGGCTTTGATAAATTTAGTACTTGTTTTGATCATCCAGGTGTCTTTCATTTTTAGATTAACATTACATTGATCTTAATTTTAATTTTAATTATTTTTATCTGGTTTTAATTAATTATCATAAAAAATAGTAAGGAGAAATTTAATGATACTTTGGTAATTTCTAATTAGTTTTTAGTATTGTTTTATTACTAGGTCAAGAAAATTATTCAATATTTAGTTTTTCCTGCTAGAAATTAAATTTTGAATATTTTTAGTCGGTATTATTGTAATTAGTAACTAGTGTTTAATATTACACAACAGAAAAAAATTTACTTAGGATCAAGTAAATAATTTTAAAGAATTTCATTTTCTTGATTTGAGAAGAAAAATTTTTAAACTAAGAAATTTTTACTGGTTTAAGTAAATTTTATTTAATTATAAAAATTTTTCTCTCAATTCAATTTTTTTTCAGTATATATAATTAGTATTTAACATTCTCTAATTACTAATAAAACAGTATTGAATAATTATTTTTCCCTGTCAAACACTTCATACTTAGTATTTTCAAGTGATGTTTTAATCTTCTAAAATTATTGAAAAAAAAGAATATTTTATATATAGTTTTCTGTATTAAAATTCTAATATTTAAAATTTTCTAATTAGTATTCAGTATTTTTTTTCAATAACTCACTACTACAAAAGTATTCAATGAGTTTTCCGTATCCAAACTCTAATAAGCATTTTCAAATTAGTGTTTAGTATTTTTTAATGAATAATTTTTTTCAATTATAATTTAAGTTGTTATATAGTAACAAATAATATTTCATAATTAATTTTGCGCACTAAAAATCTCTATATTTAGTACTTTCAAATCAGTATTCAATATTTTTTAATATTTAGTCTTTTTTAATAAGTAATTGATGCAAATATATTAATTAATGAATTTCTTGTATTCAAACACTAATATTTCGAATTTTCCAAAATTAGTATTATGTATTTTTTGATTAGTATTTAGTATTTTCTAGTAACTAAAAAAAAAGTATTTAATAATAAGTTTTCCGTATTCAAAATCTAACATTGAGAATCTTTTAATTATTATTTAGTATTATCCAATTAGTATTTAGTATTTTTAAATTAAAAAAAAAGATGAATAAAAACTCAGTTTTCAAGAACTAAATTTTAATATTTAGTATTTTCTAATAATTTGGCTAATGAAAAAATATTTATTACCTAATTTTCCAGATTCAACTTTCATATTTAGCATTTTCCGATTAGTATTTAGTATTTAATCATTAGTGTTTAGTATAATACAATAATTTACCTAATAAAGAAGTTAATACCTAATTTTCTGTATTCAACCTTCATACTTAGCATTTTCCAATTAGTATTTAGTATTTTTAAATAAAAATATTTATCTAATAAAAAAGTATTTAATACCTAATTTTCTGTATTCAAACTCTGATACTTAGCTAGTTCCAATTAGTATTTTTCTATTAGTGTTTAATAATTTCCAATTAATAAAAAAAAGACTATTTAATTCTAACTTTTCCACAACCAAATTTTAATATTTAGTATTTTCTAATCAGTATTTATTATTTTTTAACACTTTACCTACTAAAAAAGTATTTAATACTTAATTTTCTGTATTAAAATTTTAATATTTATTATTTTCCAATTAATATTTAGTATTTTCCAATTGGTATTTAGTATTTTCCAATAATTTATCTAATAAATACGTGTTTTATACCTAATTTTCCGTATTGAATTTTTCAATTGAAATTTAGTATTTTCCAATTATTTGCCTGATAAAAAAGTATTTAATACCTAATTTTCTGTATTCAAACTCTAATATTTAGTATGTTCCAATTAGTATTTTTCTATTAGTGTTTAATAATTTCCAATTAATAAAAAAAGATCTCTAAATACTTTTTCAACAGAACTAAATTTTAATATTTAGTATTTTCTTATTAGTATTTATAATTTTCCAATAATTTACCTAATAAAACTCATAATTTTCCGATTAATATTAAGCATTTTCCTAAAATCAACTAATTTTTGACACCTGTACCAAATCACCTAAAAAAACTACAAGTACTATCTAATAATCCTTTTTTAAAAAAAAAACCTCCTAAAACAAAACAAGTAGGTTTATATTAAGAGCAGGTGGAGGATTGCGTGGGCGCCTGGCCGGTCAACGACCGGTGAACAAGGACGCTGCAAGGACATTACAGACGGTGGGTAGTCTTGCATTTAAGTTATTTTTATTTCAACGAGTTTGGATAAATATTTATAGACTTATATTTATCCAAAGGGCGATGCCTTTTTTCGGCAAAATATCATCACTGCCCGGGAGGTGGAATAAAGGCCGGCAGGGGTCAAATTACAACTTTAAATCAACAAAACAACATAAAAAGTGAAGATTAGAGGATACTCACGTTTACAATGGCCTTTGTATGCTACTGGAATAGCGCGGCCTGCGCGACAAGCCGCTAGACGCAGATGACATGCACTCTTGTAAGTATTACCGTCGGCGCCGCAAACAGGTCTGCTGGCCATCGGCTGGAGCGACTGCTTCTGCTCCAGGATTCCACCCAAAGAGGACTGCGGGCACTTACGCGCACACTTAACGCAGTGCGGGCTCAGATTCTGGTCCAGGAGGCAGCTTCGGCCCTGCCCGCAGTGCACCCGCGTACACGAACCTGCTCGACACTTTTTACGTTATTATTCACGCTGGTCAGATCTCTTCTAAGGTACAAGCACCGATTATTGACAGAGGGACAATTATTGATACTGTATTTTAGATAATTACAGAAGATTTTAATGATATTAATATTTTTTATGCAAATTTAATTAAGAGAATAAGGAAAATTTTATCTCCGGTTTATAAAAAAAATTTAAGTTCTTATAATAAATTTGGATAAATAGCTCTACAAGGCATGAAATAAAAAAAAATTTCCTAAGTACTTAAACAACAATGAAAAAATAATAATTTTAACTATACTGAAGTTAGTTGACAGCTGTCAATTTTTTTTAATTTTTGTAACAAGTCAATTACAATTCAAAAAATGCTTCTAAAAATTTTCATTAATAATTTTTAAAAATTTTTTTTTAATTTTTAAAGATTCCAAATTAATTCTGCTGTTTAATCATACTAACAAATATGCTCTTGTTTGATTGGAATTTTTTATAAAAAAAAGTTTTTTAATATTTTGCGAGTTTTTTTTTTATATTTCAGAGGAAAATGTGACAGAGATGGAGCAAGAGGGTGTCGGAATCACACCTAAATAAACTCGTTAATGTGTTTTTTTTCTTTCTTTCTATCTTTTGTTTTTTTTTAATTTTATGTAAGAATTTCGAAATAATTTTCAAATAAAAATGAATTGATACAATCACGCGTATTTTGCAATTTTTTTTAAATATTTTTAATTGTAATTTTAAGCATTTAAATGAATTGCTTAAAAAAAAATTTATACGCCCTTTTAGCTTTAGGTCATCAAATTTTTAATAGTCACGCGATATCTCATATCATAATAAAAAGAAATTGTATATTCATTCAGATTTATGTAGATCGATTTACGTTTATGAAATTTTCACAAATTAAAAAGAAAATATTGAAATCTCTGTCTAGCTTCAAGTGCGACGAATTTTTCTGTTAGTTAAAATTTTCTCAGTGGCATCAATTTTTTATAGAAAATAAATTTAATATATTTTTTACGAATTTTATTTAAATAAGTAGTAAAATTTCTTTTCCACACATCAAGTGTTTGGAAAATGCATTCATTTTATTCTGTTACATTCCCGCGATATTCCGCAATAAGAACAATTAATCGGTTATGTTTTAATAAAGATTTATTATTATATAGAAATAGAGAACCTTGTCCAGGTCGCCCAAAATGAATTTTTACGAGAATAAAGGACTTGGAAGGTGCTTTCAGTCTTCTAAGCAACACCGCAGCTGCAACTCAGGCTATGTTAGTGCACGTTTGGACGCCAGTTATTTTTTCCTATCAGGGAAATAACAAATCCTTTATGTTGTAACAGGTAAAATCGAATTTTCCGCGAGATCATTATCGACCGTAATTGTCACCGCGGTAGGTAAGGACTTTTCTTTACCTTTCGATTTTTATCGAGTAGTTGTTCGACTCGTCACCGGGCGCATAGAAGCAATTCTTAATATAATAATATATAATAAATTAAATTTTAATCAAAATTTGTTAACTGAAGTTATTTCTAATTAAAAGGAGGTCCTTTCACCATCAATGTTAAATAAAAAATATTAGATTACGCATAAAATTAATTTTTATCTAATAATTAAAGTCCTTATTCATCTACTAATAAAGTTTAATTTAGTCTTTACGGTACAAATTTTTGAAAAAAAAATTTTTAAAATTGTTAGTATTTTTTCCGAGTCTTACGAGAAAGTCAGACCTTAACAACTTTCTCGAATTACGGTATTACCTACCGATTAGATGGGATAAAAAAACTCAAAATAAGGGTTTCGAAATATTCAGGTTTCATTCAATAAATTCAAACTAATTTATTTATTTACACTGACTGCAAAAACTTAAACGTGGTTAAGGTTATATTGTGCAAATGAAAATGTAAACAACCGAAGTACAGCGTTGCCAAATCACGGACAGGTTACTAGCAGCTGATTTGAAAGAGTCAAATTAATTTTTGTATTTAACTATTTTTTTTTTTTTATTTTCAAAATTTCAACGATTAATACCTCATATACTATTT